AATAAAACACTTCCTGTATGTTCAGCTGAAACCAAGGTACCGAGATGCAGTGGTAGATAATGGAAGAAAATAACCTAAAAGAATACGTTGCTGCTTTACCCTGGAGACATATGCCTCCCTTTATCACTGCAGAGATGTCAGAGGCAGGAGGGAATGGGAGCAGGAGGAAATCAGAATGTGATGAGAGCCAGAGTGGGAAACAGCACCCAGCATCTCTGAGACCACCCAGCATCAAGATACTGGGGGGGAAAGGATTTGGAACGTCCAGAAAGGACGTTGCCAGGCCAGAAAAAATCACCATCGTGGCAAAAAGCATCATCTCCCGCTTTTACAGCGCAGCCTAAAAGGCGTTCAATGTTTCAGAGGGTGAAGGTGAGACCGGGCAGTGAAGTCCCAGGGATCTGGGCAAGGACTCGTACAGAAAGGCTCCCTGCAGATCCCCAGCACTTTGCCATGCTTCCAGGGAATAAGACTCCCTGGCCAGAGGAGTATTTAGTTTTTCTCTTTTCTCCCATAATTAAAGATCACAAACAGTAGAATATTATACAGCAAAGAGATCCTTACCTTGGATTAAGCACAGGGCGCAGCCTTGGAAATCAGTTGAATTATTAAGAAGACAGATTCTTCACATTTTCTTTTCATTCATGTATAAAGCCTTTTGTGCTTCATACTTCAAAATTTTGCCTAGTCAGTTCACAATCAGATGTCAACATCTTAAAAGTTTAGGATGAAGGAGAGGGGGAATCTGTTTCTAAAAATCTTTTAGGACTCAATTTCATCACTTGATCATAATCAAAGTTAACTGCAGTCACCTCAAACTGTCCTAACTCTCATTTTAAGTTGAAGGCTGAACACCCAACTTGGCCTTGTGCGCAAGGGAACAGGAGCAGAACTGGTTCTAGCTGATAACTAGATTAAGTTAATATTCCTCTCACAGTCCCAATCCTTTAAATAGCACTAGTTTATTGTAGAGAAATACAGCCAGACATGAAACAGTGTTTCCTTAAAAACAACAAATTCGTAGGAGGACTTTTTTCCTCTTTGCATTCCAGCTTATTTTTTGAGACTGGCCAATGCAAATCTGCCCCAACCTATGTAAATGCATTTTTACAGGAATTAACAGCAACTGTAAATTCACCACAATCCTCCATCCTCTGTGTACTCCGCTTCAAAAGTGTGGAAGAACCAAGAGATTCAGCACCGCTGAATGAGCAAGTACCGCTGTCAGGGTTATCCTGCAAGAACGAATGTGGCTTTTCTATGCAGCGTATATAGAGTGTGTGCTTAAAGCAGTGACTGCTCATACATGTGATGTTTCAGCAGAAGCAAGTGCTGCTCTGCCAATGAACTCTGGCAATTAAGTGAATTTTTTCATATGCTAAACCTCCCTTTACCTATATCTCTAGGAGGAAACACTGCAGCTAGTCCTATAATGGGAAGTCTCACTGTAACCACGACTGACATGAGAATGCTGTTCTCTTTGAGGGAGGATGTCACTGCCTGAATTAAGTCTCCTGAAACTACTTAACAGATCACTTGATTTCAGACAGAGAGATCTGTACTGCAAATTAGCAAATACTGTGCTGGAATGGCTACAAGATCTTCCTACATGCCAACAGCCTTTAGTTACATTTAACTGGAAGGTCATGGGACAGTGACATAACATGTAATTATTTTAAATCACATGATTAAAAGCAGTATCCAGAGAATTTTGATCACTTTGAGAGTTTTACAAACATTGGTAAAGAATTGTTTCTCCCACTCACAGTCATATGTCAGTGTAAGCTCCAAAATACTCTAAATAAGGACAGAAGCTAGACAGGAGGAAAGCCAGAACTCATCTGTTAGTGATGCTAGAGAGTACTTCAAATTCATGCTTGCCTCTATTGTTATAAGTTGGCAGCATCCCCATAAAACACTTCCAGTTCTGTCTTTGAAATGAGTGCTTGTTTGGAAGTTCTACTGTCCAAAGAAGCATAGACATGTGCATATCCCTCCTGCCCATCACCATCACACTACAGGGCAACCTTCCAAAATAACCATGACCATTTCCTACAGAAGATGGACAATACAGTGTTCATCAAGATTAAGGATCTAAAAGCTCAAGAATAACAGTGAAATTCACACTGACTGGGGAAAATTGCCTCATTTCATATAAAAATTTTGAATTAATTCTTCAATTTTTTTTGCCAGAACTTTTTAGAAAAAAGGCTCTCATTTTGGCAATGAAAACAAACCTGGATTAAAATTGAAGATGCCTTTTCTGGCTTTACATTTTAGTTTCTTTCTTCCATAATTTGTACGATGAACAAAAATATACATAAATCAGACTTAAAATTGTTAAGAAGAGAGAAAAAGATCACAAGACAACACATGTGGAATATGATAGGTTTGGGGCTCAAAGCCATTTTTTAAAAATCAGGTTAATCTGGCTATTAATACTGTTCTTAGGGAATCAGTCCGAATCCTAATGTTAGGAAAGTTGAGTTTGCAGAATTTTCAGATAAAACTATGTGGAGGAAAGGACTTGCACTGAAGAATTGCACTGAAAAAGGTTACTGTGGAAGACATGCTGCCTCTTAAGGAATCACATACAAAAATAAAAATTTCTCTTCTCTCCAAGGTCACACACCAGTGTTCTCTATATTTAACTGAAAACCCAGTCACCTGCTCTTTTTAGATTTGATGGCAGTAAGGAAGATACAGATATAGAGAAAGTATAGGTCTAGGAACAGAATTTTATTTGATTCTGGAAAGTATCATGCAAAAAATGTCTTTTTTTTTTTTTTTTTTAAAAGATCCTTGCCCAGCTTCCAGATGACAAATTAAAATTTACAAGTAAAAGGATGTGTAAGGTTAGCACCATAGGAGGAACAGTCTTCTCTTTACAACTCCATTTGACAGACAGTTATAAAAGAAAACAGAGGAAAAGAAAAAAAACCAACTAGGTGACCTTGAGTTTTTATTTTCAACATCCTAGATACTTAAATCTAAACATCAAGATACCATGACTCTCTAGGCATATCTAAATAATTCACGTTCAGCAAAACTTGCTCTGTACATTGAGAAATATTTAAGTGTCAAATGGTAACTATCACAAAGTACCAGCTAATATGCAAGGTAAAAATTGTAAAGGTCCAGAAAAAGAAATGAAACACCAGAAATCAAAGTGAGGAATTTGTCCCTCTTCCAGTCTTTTGCAGGTATGGCTATCATGACTTGCTGCAAAGCTCAAAAAAATAAAAGGGATGTGTACTGGGTCTGGCTGGGATGAGTCAAATATCCTAACATTATCCTGTAATATCCTAACTTCACGGGCCAAATATCCAGATATACTTAATCTAAACTCTCCCATTTTCTACCTGCAAACAACTACAGGATTACATCAGACTTCAAATGTTTGTTTTCCTTGCTTTTGTATTCATTTTAAGAATTTGCTCCTTGTGGTTCTTACTGTAAGGTTTTCAAGATAATAAACAGGTTTAGAAACACTCCAGTCTTCACCGAGCAGGAATTCTAATACAGGATTTAAGAGTTTTAAATGCCATGTTATTATGTGCTGTCTTCTTAAGGCAATGGAATAATTCCTTTGAAGTATCCTAATTTTGCATTACAAATTGATACTAAGATTTCCTTCGTAAGCATCTCTAATTACCATACATGTAAAATTATTTAAATTTTATTAAACTATTAACCTGACTCAATTATTAAAAGAAGGGTTCAAACTCAGATCATACGGAAGAGGCAACTTTTTGTCATAGTTTGGGAAATACATCTTTTGATTATGCCCACATTTCAAGGTTGCGTGCATGGATTTTTAACAGCAACACTAAAGCAACCAGTTAAAACAATTGTTTTGTATTCAAATCATAGCAAAATAATTTACTTTAATCCCAAAGCAAAATGTGGTATAACCCAAACCAGCTGTTTTTTTCAGACCGATAACCATTAGCACTAGAACATCTATTGCAGTAAATGCCGTTTTAACGCGGAGAGCCAATGTTAACATGGAACCGCCCAGAGGAGCCTTCACAGCCGTGAGCACTACATCACTTTACCACCGGGAGAGTAATGAGACTCTGAACTTTTCTTTATCTTTCCTTTATTTATGCTTGGACTTCCAGCACTGCACATCAGATACCCAGGGTCTTAATCTGTCCTATATCAGACTGCAAAAATACAATGCTTTCTCAACTGTCCTTGCATCAACAAATCAAACAGTCACATCCAACAAACCCTTCACTTGAGTAGTTACTTCTATCTAAAAATGCATCTCTCCTCTTAAGGATTTCAACTAATGCTTCTGGCTTATAAAAGATTAAGTGCAATGAGTTACACTGAAAGTTTATAATGCAGCTCTTGATTGTATTTTCTGTGCACACATTTACATCAGGCACACAAGTTATATAAAATAGTTTGGAGTACAAAAATATGGTTATAATATAGGAGTACCAAACAGCACAGAATTAGAACAGTTTTATTGCCGTAATACCAATTTATATACAGACCCCCAAATTAAGGACTTTTTAATTCTAAGTATTCTTCCCAAATTGACAACTGTAGTGTACACTCTAAAAAACTGCAAATTAACAACACGAATCTATTTTAACCCCTACATTGCCTATGCAGTCTGCACCAACCTTCTCTCTTGCACACAAAAATGTATTATAAATAATTTCTCACAAAATGTCACGTACATTTTATTGCACATTGTACATGCCAATATCTAAAAGAAAGGCTCAAACCTTTCACTTGATAACTAACTGTTTAAATACCTAGCAGTTACTTGTGTTGCGAATACTATTGCATTTTTCAGGCTCTAATCTTAACTGATAATTTAGAAGAAAAAAAAGCAGAACAGAAAATATGCCTCAAACTGTATAGCTTAGAAACAAGCTTTTTCTTAGTTTTACTGATATTTACTGTATAAAGTCATTAAAAACATCTGACCTAATTAAAAATCCTGTTTCAAAATTTCTGCATTTTTTACTATAAAATTATGCATATAGCTGCTCGTATAATTATATATTCCTTCTGTTTTGCAGAATTAGATGTTCCTGTGCTGTATTGACTAAAACATTGAGTTACATAGGTCCTAGTGTTAACTATAGGAGTTAGTGTGCCAGTCTCCATTCTGCCGGTCTCCCCAGCAGTGGCAAGCGAGGAGCCCGTCAGAACACCAGAACAGGTTGATATAAAAAGACACTGAGCACAAGTGGCCATTAAGCATCAAGGCCATGTATAGTTCCTGTTAAGAGGATCTCTAGACTAAGAAATATGAGTAATTTATCATTAATATGTGGGTTTACGGTATGCTGCACTAAAATATGACCACTAAACAAAGGGAATGATTTGTGTATGACAGATACGTGCCAGCTGGTAAAAATGCCTCACAGGATAAAAATCTGCATTTTGAGGGTTAAAACTCTGGCATGAACAAAAAGATTAAGAAGTCAATTGATCAAATGTTTTGCCAAGGGTTTCTAAAGCTATTAGCCATCAACAGCTCTAGAAAGGCATAAAACCAGCAAAACCAAACAACTAAAATTGCACTATTACAAAGAAACAAGTCCGTGAAAGGGAGGGTCACCAGCTGCAGTTAAGGGACAGCCACTTCAAGAAGCCGATTGTTTTTTCGCTTGCAAGTGGGGATGTTGCCGTTTTTCTGGCTGCCTTGTATGAACTTCACACACACTTTGTCTTGTCTGAACTGGACCAGAAACCTAGGAGAAGGAATAAGATACATTTTAGCTAAACGTAGGAAAAAACCACATGAGGAGGTGAAGTCTTTTCTTGTGGGTTCTGAGCATCACTCCAAAAGATGTCATCTTCAGGTCTGTATTAATTATAAGAGTTAGGGAATAAAAAAAGCGCCATGGGTTATGGTATGGCTTGAGTCTCCTTCAGGTATTATCTCTTAATTATTGCTTTTTGCCTGTAACTGTGGACCTTTTACAATAGTTAGTTTGCTATTCCTTTAGAAAGAAGGCAGCTTAAAACAGAATTTCTAATGTACCTGAAATGCAGCAAAGACTATTTCCAGCTGCTTCACCGTCATCCAAAGGGACTTCTCTGTTTTCATGGAAGGAAGCTAAATACTTCTATAGCAACAACCGGGAGCACTCTTCTGATCTACGCTTTATTTAGTATATCTGGTATTTTAGCAGCTCTCGTATTTCTAATCCTTAGTTAGCCTTTACAGCCCCCTGCTCAGCAATTGGGAAAATTCACTTCCTTCCCAGCAATCTCCAAATTTAGATATTTCCTGCAGTCCAGGATAAATGAATCTGGATTTGACTCTTCACTTTTTATTGGAAAAGAAGTTTCGCTGAATGTGGAGAATTGCTTTAAAAAAACCACTAAAACCCACCAATAGGCTCCTGTGGAGCCTCAAACTTCTCACTGCTCAGGATAGCAAGATTAAAAGCAATAAACAGGGCAGCACTGCCTTTTGGCTCACACGCAGCGGTTGCTGACCTAAAAAGTCCTTTGTAATACAGAAGATTTTCCCTTTTAGCATCCTTAAAAAGTCCTCCAGCAGAGGCCAAAAACTTCAAAGAATTTGTTCTCCAGCCGGAAACCACAAATCAAGCTGACGGCAGAGCTCAGGGGAGGAAATGGCCTCTGCTGCGCCGAGCTGCCCTTCGGTCCTGCTTTCCTGCTGCACAGCCCAGACGCTCAAAGATTAACTTGTTCGGCGCTCCCAGCCATGCAAGCATCCGGAAAACGTGAGCAGGTCTTACAGCCATCGCCTCTTGTCACCAACGCTGCATTTTCCTAGACCCATTGTTCCAATATTATATATATGAATGGGAGGTCTCCTACCAGACATACCCCTGGATCAACAGCATTTTTGCTTATATCAGCTCTCTTCCCAAAAAGTAGTGTACAGTAGTCAAAATAAGGCCACATTTTCTCCTCAATCTCTAGTTGTGCCTGTATCTAAACTCTAGCAGGAGGAAGAGAGTACTGCTTCACCATCAACAGAGATGGAACTGCTAACAACTTAAAATTATTTAGTCTGGATAAACTCAATAGCAATACACACTCGAAAGTTTTTAATTTGCAAGACAAGAAAGAAAACCACATCCCAAAATGCAAGACTCCCAGAAAGCAGGCTGTTTTCCAGACCTAAGGCAGGCAGGCAGGCAGTCCACACTAGTGCAATGCATGCTGAAACTTTTAGTAGTTTATTCCCTTGTAGCCATCATTAAACTAGAAACTTACTGGGGACAGCCACACTCTTTTAGAGGCTAAAAACCCACACCCTTGAGCAAATTAAATCACATCTGCTAACAGAACAAAGGAAAAAGGCAGATGCCATTTTCAAGGAAAAAGCAAAATTAGCCTTTAAATAAACCCTCAAATCTGAACAAACTGTACTCGCCATCACGACTCTAGATACAAGCAGTGTGGTGCAGCCAGATAAAAGGTTCACATTTTGCCTGCAGTAGTTTTATTCCACTATTGTTAAAGGGTTCCAAATTTTCTTCTTTATTTAAAATGAATAAACCCACCAAATCAACGCTACTGAAATCAGGGGGCACTTCTCACAACAAACTGAGCGCATAATAATGGTGGAGTAAGTGAGGGACTCTTACTCAGCAGGCTTTAGGAGTGCACACACACACAAAGATTTTTATTCCATGGCTATAAACACTGCAAGTGCAGTCCTTACTGAAAGCCAAAATATGAAATTGCACCAGGCAGAAAGAAATACTAATTTGAGATGCAAGCATTTTATCAAAACCAGCTTTTTAACAACCAAAAAAACCAAAACAACAGCAGGTGGTTCAAACACCATCAGCAGGAATTTTAAGAATATATTTTTTACCTTCACAGAAGAGAAGGTAGCATAGACCTACATTACTAGCACCATCATTATGTGTGTTTAGGAGGAGCTTTTCATTCTGTTTTGGTTATTTTCACTAGAACTTGGCAGCTAGTGTCCAATAAGTATCTCATAGGAATTTGTGAACTTCTCAGTTACACACAAAACTATTCTCTCAAATGTAGTATCTCTTAATTATTTCTACAGCAGCAATTCTGCTTCATAGCCCTATTTGAAACTACCTTAAGAAAAACATGTTTTCTCTAATGACTTTCAAGGAAATAAGAGCCAAACTGAATACTAGAAATGAGTACACACTGAAAATTGGATCCTTATTTACAAGTATTCTGTCAAGAGAAAAGAAGTATTAGTTACACAACAGTGTTTTGTTTTTCTAACATTAGATACTTGACTTTTTAGCATGTTGCACTGAAGGAAATGCACTTTTAAGCAAACAAGAAACATACTCATCAGATATCTCAATGTTGAGCTTCTGCTTGGTTTGGCTGAGAGTAGTACGGTAAAGTTTAGTGGCCATTTCAATAAGGTGATCGCTGCTGAGCAGGAAATCTCCTTTACCAGCTGCTCCTGAACCCTGAAACAGAACAGAAAGTAGTTAGGGCTACCAAAACCTAGAATATGAAAAATATTAAATGCCAGCTAAGCAGGAGATTTTAAAAGGAGTCTTCTCTTCCCAGTGCAATGAAACAACAGCCTTTTGTCTTGTAAATTAAACAGGGATGCAGTGCAGTGCATAAGATCAAAATGCAATTCACTCTCAAATCAACTACAAACCTGTTGAGAAAGTTAAAAACCCCTTCTGACCCTAAAGGAGGGTCACCTTCATTTGTCCTACAATACTGTAGTGTTTCTGTATCCCTCTTCTGGCTATACCGCAGCAAGCTTACAATATTTTCAGAAAGGAACAGAAACCAATCACCAACACCAGTATTAGGATGAAGGTGGTCAGTATCAAAAGACATTATATATGACACTCTTCAACTCCGTTTAAGCTAGAATACAAATGACAGCTTAATGATTTCAGCAGAGCAATGCTGACAGTGCAGTGAAGCAAATATAGCACTGAACTAAGTTCTTCAGAACCAAATTAGTTGTGCCATAACATGGATTTCTTGGCAGCCCATAAAGAAGAGATAAATATTCTGCCTGAGTGTCAGGAAGAACTATATGAGCAGCTAAAAAGGAAAACCCTGCCACAAGGTATCTGAACCAGATCAAAGGCCCACATTACAAACGGAAATCCAATCCTGAAGAGGCTACAGTGAAATATGAAGTCTGATTTTCACGAGTAAATGATCGTTCATAATGTAGTACCTGTTCTCATCTGGCTTCAGTAGTCTTAAATCAAAGTTTTTGCAGATATGGCAAAGTTCAATAAAATTATAAACCTACAGGCTAACCACTACTATTTAATGCTACACGATAATGAATAAACAATTTTTATATCATTGCATGTAAAACAGTCATATTATTGTATTATAAAGTTGTAACCAACCTCCTTGAGGTGCACCGCAAAGAAGCCATCATTTTGGGAGCTCATGGACACTTTGGTAACATCTCCCAGTGGAACCTCTGACTTGATATTCCCAGATTTTTGATCCGCAAGAAGAACGTTATTTTTGGTTAATAAGAAAATCCTGGATGTAGCCTGTGAAAATACAAAAATGCAAACCATTATCTACACAAAGAGAGAACTGGTCTTTATTGAGCACCTACTAAGACTACAAGCAGTTCATAGAGTTAATAAGCTTGGCCCACATTAGTAAACACGAACACTTGATGTTCAGTAAAACTGCAGATCAGTTAAAATCAGGTCAAATTTATTTATGTGTCTAATTATAGATTGAGAAGCTTAGCTCATTTTGGCACATATGCTTACGTATAAACAGTTCCTTTAATTACTAGCTTACAATTACAAAAATCGGAAACTGAAACTCAGAAACTATGCAAATCATGATAACCTCATTTCTCATGCTCTGTCAATCCCCAGGAAAACCAATATACCTTTTCAGTGATAGTTAACTCAGGGTTAAGCCTCACTATTTACTGTTATTCACCAAAACTGTGTTGCAGAACAACACAAATCATGTAGGTATTTTCGGTGTTATGCTCTCCTCCCTTTACCTATTGGAATTATTCTTTAGGAGGATAAACTTTCATATTTTCAAATGACAAATATTTTTAAAGCATGATTGTGTGTTCTTAAATTCGTCTTAGAAAATAGTAAGAAAGAGAAACAAGAACTTAATCTACATATAGCTTTTTCTCCTGTAAAATTTTAAATAATAAAATCTTAACTATTATAATTAAGAAGTAGCTGTCTTAAGCACATAGAACCATAGCTCATTATTAATTGTTTGTTTGTTTTGTTTTTAAATCTTGACAGCTGTAGCCTATGCAAGTACAAGAAAGATATTGTCTTCATTTAATTAGTTTCTTCTAAACCGGAAAATTAACTTGGCATCAACAACAGGCAACCTAATTTCACTCCTACAAATGCATAAATGACATCTACTACTTCTAATATTTAGACAGATATGGTGAAAACAATTACATTTACTAAGGGAGGAGAATACTTCCTGTTTTAATAAGTATAATTTAAATGCAAAACAAGTTCTGTGTTGGCAGAATAAAAAGTACCTAGCATATTTAACAGCTTTATTCAAATGATACAAGAAACTTGTCTCTTCATTCCAAAAAGCTTCTGATATCAATCAGAAGACAGGCAAAGCTAGCAGAGCATGCCACTCACTATTTTAAAACATAATAATATGTGATAAACAGGAGCTTGAACGACAGTGTGAACCTTGAAAGGTTAAGTTTTCTAACTACTTGAACAAGACCAATATTCTCTATTTCTTTTCTTCAACTGGCAAATAGAAGATCTAAGTTTGGTACAGAGACTACATTTAGCTGTGAATCAATACAGTCTGTTACCAGTTGATGAGATGCCATTTTTGTTTGGAAAAGTGACTGAAAACTACAAACCCAAACAAGATTTTAGTAATCTTTACGTAAATTTAAAACAGGTGTTTAAAATCACCGATTTACATAAACCCAACATTCCCAATCTTGCCCTTGAAAAAAGGGCATTTTTTAAAGTCCGCAGACTATTACATGACCGAAACGAAGTCTCCCTCTCAGTTTATTTATAACAAAAATGATCTACCCTTCTGGATAAGTAATTCCATTTTATTACCTTCCCATTAGCTCTATTGATCTTATTCACAACTTCTGCAATAATGATTTTTTCATCCACAGCATCTTTAAGTTTTTTATACTTGGGGTTCTTGCTGATTTCCAAGTAAGCCCCTTGGAACGGCTGCCCAACACTGCCCAACAAAAAGACAAGGGAAATACGAGTTAAACATGAATCTCAGGGAAAAAGCAAACCTCCTGAAGCCGTCATGTTCTGCTTCAGGCTTCATGGAGCCAGGAGATGCACCAAATACCTTTTTCAATGACTCTATGCTGCCAGAAGCTTCCTCAAGGTTTGATACATTCTCTGCCAGGTAAAGTCATTTGCTGCTTCATTTTTAGTGAAAGAACACTCTAAACAACCCAGAAACCTCTACTCACGATTTCTAACTGTTTTAAAAAACAGCAACGCAAAATAATTTGCTGTTGTCTAAGAGAATAACTAGAACAATACATAACTGAATGCAAACAGGGCTCTTAACATGGTGTTTGTTTATGCAGCGTAGTTGTCCTCCATCCTGCTGAGAAGCAGAGAACTGCAATGCCCTGCCCTCTGCCCCAAGACTCTTCAGGTTGGTACCACCATTCCCTCAGTGCAGTGGTGTCGGCATTAATTTGTGCTGTGCAGGCACACTACGTCAGCTGAAAATAACTTGGGAATTGCTACAGAGTAGTGTGGATATATCTCCCAGTACACTATCCTGGGGGAAAGGAGAAAGGAGGAGGAGGGGTAAGAAACGATATTAGACACAGAATCTTGTTTGTATACATTAACAGCACAGTGATGGTGAATAAAGAGAAATTTATCACCAAAGACAGTAAAAGGATTTTTTTTTTCCTTGCTCTGGAAACATTTTCCAATTAAATGGGCCAAATTGTTATGGATATCAGACACAAGTACATCCTTGCATATACAATAAATTTTGATTCAAAATCACCCAATAACAGCCTCAGTGAAAACAGGAAATAAAACTTCAGTAGGACTGACACCTCTGCTCTTTCGCAGTATTTCAGTGACAGACAAGAACTTGCCTTCAAGACCTCCTGTTGTTTGTTAAGTGTGTACCAGCTCTTCATCAAGACTTGTTGCGCTTGCCAATCACCCATCTTTATCCACCTCAGGGTTATACAGCAAGAGCTCCGCTATCAGTTAAGAATTGGTGAATACAGTTGCTGCTTGCTTTGTTTGGAAGCCGCTTTAACTAATTGCTTTGATTAAATTACAGTCAAAGTACTAAATGCAAAGCTTTGCCAAGACGAGAGCCCAAGAGGAGCCAATATATTATGTGGAATAGCACTATCTTTGCAACTGCATCTCTGGCACACAGGGAGATGGGAGAGAAAAGGAAGGGTTCTGGTATTTTAGTACTCACAAGACGTCCCTCTCTGTTCTTAAATAATTGTATTATACACAGAAAATTAGCCACATCCTATGACTCATTATCATACTAACTAATCAGAAACTTTATACTGTAATTTCCTCCACCCCTAGGCCAATAAAAAAACCCAACAGGAGCTAATCAGCTCTGAATACAAGACAAAAAGAGATGGAAATGTTTCTAAATGAGTGCAGGGTGGGGAAACCATTCTAACTTTCTACCATGTTGGAGCTTTGATTTTTTTTGTTTTTATTAATTAGTATTATGAAACCATAGCCACCAAAACAGTAGATTCCCTGTGGATTTTGTCCCTAATTAAACAATGATGACTTACAAGCTAAAACTGAAATGAATCAACAGTTACCCTCTATCACATATACCACTTAAGAATAAAAGTAACGTAGATAGACATTTTGCTGTATACAATTTCATTGTTCAGTCTTGGTGTAAAAAGTACCAAACCAAGGATATAAATAAAAATCCTTCCTTCCCAAGGAGCTCTACGCTGATCAGATGTAAACTGACTCAAAGCAAAAAAACCTGCTTGCTCCTAGAAAAGTCCAAAGGAAGCATCCTTCTCTTTTCCCAGCAGCATAAAAAGACATCCCAAAGCAAATAAGGAACAAACCACAAGCTAACATATACAGCCATTAAATAAGTGATCTACTGAAGGGAAGAAAGAGAAACATATACTGAGCCCATTCCAGGAAAAAAAGGAAATGTCTTAATAAAAAATGACATAAATCAAAACCAATAACACACAAACAATCAGGCAGAGCTTGCCCATGCATGGAACTGCTCTCATCAACTCTTGCAGATTCCTGTTCCTCCCTCTACTGAACCTTGCTTCTCACTTTACAGTGCCTTGCTCCTGCTCAGCTCAAACTATGACTTCTAAAAGAAAACTCTCCTGAGATGGACAAGACCTTTGTTTTCAAGAATAACACAATTTCTAAGCTCATATTCACATAAAAAGTTCAATTCAACTTCTTTCAAGGACATCAGATCTCTATTTTGTCCATTTTATTGCATGAAAAAAAAAAAAAAGAAAAAGTGCATTCCTTAAGTAAAATTAGATACTACTGCACTTTCTTGAGTCATGTTAGCTCTGCAGATAGCAATGACAAGAATTTATCAGTTTTTAAGAACTCAATAATCTGAGAGACCAGAAAACTTATTTGCAGAGATTTCACATTTTTAAAAAGTCTCCAATTAAAAAAAAAATTTAAAAAATCTAAAATGGAATTGAACTTCTAAGTTGTTTTTTTTCTTAAGTACCCCTTCAAAAAGATGTATACCAATGTATCTAACTCTTAAATTACCTAGTCTTCACGTTAGAGCATTACTCTGAACGTACTAAGTTTGCACATAGCAGAGCTCCCTGGCACGCCTCGTCTGGGAGTGACATTGTCACTGACAGCCTTTCAGTTCACTTTACGTCTATTGGTTGCAAGAACCAGCGTGACGGAAACTAGGGTAAAGGGTGAGAGTTATTCCCTTCTACAAGTTCTCCAAACTTCTACGATGTGAACAGGTCATGGGTGGTTAGAACAACAAAACATCATGGTTTCTGGGCAGAAGTGCTCAGTATCACAGGACTAGTGGCTGCAACGACATCTAAGTTAGAAGCAAACTGAGGTCAATTTCCAGGATTGTAAAGTAAAATGATGGAGGGACATTGTCATACAAGGAAAATGCACTTTAGATAAAAAGATAAAGATAAAAAGCAAAATCTTGCTTAGTTTCCTAAATCTATGTAAGGATACTGAATTTATTGTACACTAAAAGCAGCAGAATAAGTCATTACCTGGCTGGATATAAAGCCTTCTTGTCCTTGAAAAGTTCACTTGCTTCCAGTTTTTCTTCATATATAAGCTTCTGCTGATCTGTGAACTGGTCTCTGTACTTTTTACACTACAAAACATGATAGATTAAACAAACAAAAAAAATTCTCCTTCCAAATCTGATTTGAAGCAGCAGCAACACAGACTAATGTTTGCTTATTGCTCAAGATGCACATTCTTTGTATACTTCTGAAGTGACTCAGCTCTATCCTACATGCCACTGTGGCACAGTAACAAACAGCAGAGGTGTTTTTCTCCTCATCCATTCTAGATACTTCTGAATTACACCAGAACCAATATCTAAAACATCTCATTTAAGCATGTTGCATTTGAACATAGGCTTAATCTATCCGATACCAGGCATTGGAAGACTGCTAAAAAGGTTCACAGAAACATATGTATAGTTCCACGATTGCGGAAGTTTATGTAAGCAGAGAGAAACAACAAAACACAGCTGAGAGGATGAATTTTGCAGGCTCAGAAAGAAAAACTGTTCCTTGACAAGTCACAGAAAACATAGCCCACAAGATCAGTAAAACATCTCATCAGCACTTAGATTCTCACTGTTCTCTCCATCCATAGATCCAAAACAAATTTCAGCTAACCACAGTTCATGAGTAAAAAATTCCACCCGGTACTTCCAATGTTGGTCTAAGAGCTAGTCCCAGTCCTGGCCATGGACACTAGTATTATAAGCTAACAATTAACAGGCAACAGGCATACTGCTTTAGTATTAAGTTAAAAGCTGATGGCAGGAAGCAATCCTCTCCCTAGCTCCAGAAAGGAGTAGGCAGGATAGTTATACCCCTTGCAGGCCAAAGACAATGATCAAAAGACATACTTCTTCCAAAGAAATAAAATCATCCCGGCTGGAACAGGAAGAAATACATCCTAAAAATAGGTTCTTCCTGAACACTACTGAAAATCATGCGATGAAGTTCTGTACAGACTGGACCAGAATGTGTCCTACCCTCCACAAATGGAAAATCCTCTTTAATTCCTTGTGAGTTGAATCCAAGAATAGGTAAGGTCTTGCTGGCCAGTTTTTATCTATTGGTGATAAAGAAGGCATCTTATTCTTCATTTCCAGGAAGTATTTTTGAATCTGTGATAAAATTGAAGCAAGATGTTTTATTAATGTTCCCATACCAGAGTTATTGAAATAAGCAAGGAAAAGCAGATGCTCTATGATTAAAAGCACAGTTACCATACTGCAACTCTCAGTTTTAATAAACCTGAATATGGATTTAAAAAGCCAAGTACAAAGAGAAATGCAGATTTAGGTATCACACAAGTGTGACAAATGCTTAGTTAGAGCCATTCTCACACCTCCAAAACACTATTACTATCCTTTCTTTACCACATCAGAATATTTAAGTTGTCAATTTTCCGTATGCTTAGCGTGGACATTTCCTTACAAAGACTATCAGGGCCATAATACAGCTGTTACTTTTGCTAGAAAACAGAAATTTACAACACAGAAAATGTACATGTGCTTTGTATGGATATATACATACAAGTCTCTGAAGGGTAAATTCATAAATTTTTCTTCCAGCATTGGCTCTGAAGAATTTCCTGTACTCTCTACGGACCTGAAAAGTTAAACAAACCCTCAAAGTGAATACAAAGAATGAATTTGTTTCCACAGGTACTGTTTTATAAAGCTCTATGACAGAAAATACTAAAAAAGCATACTAACATGCAAAGTGTTCCCTGAAATAGGAACATGAACTGGGTACATTTAAAATATATGAACCAGACCGTGGACAAAGCGGTCAGAAAGTTACCTCAGATGACCTGAGTACAATCATTTGCAAATTTAACATAGACTTTTAAATACTCTCCTCTGAAAAGGCAAGATACTCAAATATTGTTGAATTCACAGCATGAATCCATTTTCATAGGCTTTTGCAAAAAATTGGACTGGAAAAAGTAAGGTATCATCAGTAACGCATATTTTATTGTGTCTGAAGCAACACTGAACTGATATTACACAGTTAACTGATGAACTGTCTCTGATTTTTCCCCTTTAAAATTCCTAATACACAGAGTTTGCTATAATAAAAAAGTGATTTTTTTTTTTTTTTTCAGAGCAGACTTATACATATCTTTTCACACAAGCAGTCTTCATTCCAAAAGGAAAATAAGTTTTTGGTGTTTGATAAGAGCAGAGAATCAACACAAAGGTTCTTAATGTCAGCAAGCTTGAGATTTGCTTCTAAAATTTATATTAAAAAAAAAAAAATCAAAAAAAGTAATCAAGAACCATTTTTGCAGGTGATACTAATTTTTTATATGCGCTTGTAAATGCAAGTTTCAGAGTACTTGTTTTGCCCTTGATATTTCTCTCCGTGCTAATTAGCATAGTACCTAAACTCTCCCCCTCAGAAAACCCAATCTGAGAGAGAGCACAACTGGTCTGCAGTTGTATGGAAGCCCAGGCTCACGTCAAGTTAGCTGAAACATCCCTCAATTTTTTTCAAACTTTGGCACAGCCTGCAACACACCTGTTAAAAGTTTTGAGCAGAACCCAGGGAAAACATCGTGGCTTTGCATAGTTCACCCCAGAGCAAATTTACTGGTTTTAGCTAACTCGTTATGTGTTGCTGAGTTCACTGTAACCAGAAAATAAAGGGAAACCCATAGAGGAAAAACCCACATCAACTTACAAGAAAAAGTTTGTTTGGCTTATCCTGGCACACCTTCTGCCCCATACTGAGCGTTGTGCATTTTAAGATAAACCAGCATTTTGAAAGCAAGAATCTGTCACCATTCCGGGATTAAAAAACCCTCACAGATAAACGGGCATTCAGCCGCATTCATTCTGTGCAAATATAGCACATAATTTTTTCCTCCTCACTTTTAAAGAAAAATTATTAGAGCTCTTATTCACTGATTTTCTGTAAGGTTTAGTGCTCTATATTAGTGTACATCCTTTATTTATTATTCAGGGATGGAAATTAACACACTCAAAGCCACTCCAACCACAATCACCCCAAATCTCACCACATTCTCATAGACTCTCTTTAATAATGTTGCTTTGTGTTATTCTTTGTGAGCTGCAAGGTGTGCAAATTAATCTGGAACAAAGGGACTAATATACACCCACACATCCTATTGGCGCTGCAGGGAAGCTGCAAAGCAAGCACTGAGAAATGCAAGCTGTTCCAGAAAAGCCTAAATCTGGGAAGTACCACAAATGCTATTAAAATCTACTTATCATACAATCAAAAAAAAAAAAAAAGAAAAAAGACAGACTCAAGAATTAATGATTTAACCTTGATCACTTTTATCAACTTTAAATCTTCACCTCCATATGCCATGGGTGAAAATACTTTGCCATCAGACAAATGAGGATTGCCTGTGGTAACAGTGATATACTAGAATCACAGACTATGTTCTTATTCAGAAAAATCTGCGTATTTCAGGTGAGATGGAAGTGCCACTTACACTATTTTAAAAACACATTGAAAAACCACACCACAGACAGGCAGAAACATATTCCTGCTGTAATGTGCCTTAAAGGTTTTGGATTCATCAGTTTTCATTTAAATGCCACTGTTTGATATAAAACAGCCTCTGAGTTCTCAGGAGGGACATATTCTTGGTTTAAAATCATAAAAACAGACCCACTTTGGCAGTAGTACCTAAAGTGTGATTCTGATCTGCAGTACGACTTCTTAAAATGGCTCCTTTGTATTTCCAGCTCTGGTTTCCATGTATGTATTGTAACGGATTTTTTTTATATACATAGTATACATTAATTATATATAATTACATGTTTTGTAACTATTTTTCCCCACTTCATCATTGTTAGAATAAGTATGAGAATAAGAAAGCTGGGCTTTACTCTGCATTATCAAGCAAATCGTTCCCTTTTATACTTCTGTAGTCTACAATATGCCCTATTAACAAAAGTGACACCCAGCCAAACAAAACTGATTCAGATTTCTGCACTTCTTCAGGACTGTATCTGTAAAACTGTTTGAAAACTGTGTTACGTAAATCATTTGGGTACAGATCTGAAACATCTCAAGATGCCATTTTCATAGTCTATTTACAGAGCAGAACTACATTTTTCCAGATTACAAATGTGTTTTCTTTTGCCAACCAGTCCTTGAAAGCAAGGGACGGAAAACAAGACTCTTGTACATCTCAGTTTTTCTGGGAATTCATGGCTGCCACCAGCCATAGGTAACTGTACGCAGTGCCGTGCCCTAAAAAGGCTTGACGGAAGCAACAGGACATTATCATTAGCTTTACGCCGTGCCCTCGACACTGGGGTCAAGGGTCTAACGTGAGCAGCAGAGTCAAACAGCTCCACCTGACTTCCCATTCAAACAAGCAGAGGTCACAATAAGAAAATACATCCTTGTAATCTTTCTGGATAGGATCTTTGCCAACGTAGGTCAGGTTTTTAAGTCAACAGCTGTAATAGAGTCCCTTTAATCTGACATTTGTCTTTCACTTGAAAACTGAAATTCCTGATATGACAAAAACACCTCATGCCTAAATATTGCTGTAAATGAGGCATTTTCAGCTTATGAATTTTTCAGTAAAGCCCATGACAAAATTAAGCAACGTAATTCTGTGTAAAAATCATCCCTACCAGTGAGCCCACATAACTGCTTGTTTATTAACTGTTAGTAAAGATAGTAAGATAAAGCCCACTCTTTACTGAGTTCATGTTGACAGATGGGAGTGTTTGAGAAAGTACCTTCAGTCCAAGCCAGTAAGCCCAAATGACTGCAACAGCATGCTTACGCCTAGCCTCCTCCTTCAAGCGTTTCAATTCCCTTCGAGCCTAAAAGGTTTAGATAGTGAACAAAAGAGACAGCCCGATGCAGATAGCACAACGACCGGGAAAAGGCTTCTCCCAAATAGAACAGCCAACTTACAATCAAGATACAGAAAGACGGAAGAACAGCGTTTAACCTTTAAAACCCAACGTGTCAGCGTGAATTGGTATGAAGCAACACAGGAGGTCAAAAAAGCCTCCACTGCTGCTTAAGTGGCATGTACAGATAAGAATTTTGTCAGCCCCGTTATTCACTATCAGTGTTTCCACCTTCTCTTCAGTGCATACCTCGCAATCTGTGGTAAGTATCTTGTAACTTGATTCTAATGGAGAACTTTGCGTGCAGTTGCATCATCAAAATGACACGTATAAAAATCAAGACTTACTAAAATCTCACTATCTACTTCTTTCACTGGCAACTGCCTGGGCCGAACAGAATCAACTCTCAAACTATGTATGTAATGATGAATTACCGACACTGTATTGAGGGCTTTTATTCTGGAGATTATTTTTTATTTTGATCTTTATGTACTTAAAAAAAACAACTCTCCAGCCTGGTATTATGTCTGTCTTTATGGAATGAAGGGGTAAACCCCCCAAACCTAGTGCCTTCCTCATGTACAAAGACATCAGCATCTACCTACATTTCATCAGTCATTCCCATTTTAGGAAAGCAATTTGCAAAGTATTCTAAACACAAAGGCATGTGTGAGCAACTTAACAGAATCGCACTTTTTTGGAGACACCAGTACATTTGTTATTCAGTTATCTGATGATAAAAGTCAAGTAAAACGAAGAGTTCCAGTATTATAGGATCAGTCACAGCAGCTCTAGCCACATATCTGCAGTTGTCAAGTTATATGTTGTCAGACAGACTTGTGCAACAGCAGTTCCAGCTTGTGCCAGTTACACTTCTGTGATGTAGCTAGAAAGGTTAATTTCTGTTAGATGTAGGCTCTCAAAGAATATGTTTTCAGTCATCCGCTTGGAGCAAAAGCTCCTACTATACAGCACTGTAAAAACAAGGACTCCACAAAGCTAAGTATTTGTCTGTCTTGTGAAAGGGAAGGAAACTGAGTACTTGAGCTCCATAGCTTTTTTTTTTTTTTTTTTTTTTTTGGTAAAGCAAGCACTCTCTGATGATAACTTTCAGCAACTTTTGTTTTAAACATTCCCCTGGGAAAAGATAAAACAACACACCAATGACAAGTTTTATCTCTTATCAGATACTGTAATTCCTTTTTTTAATCTTCATTCAGTTTAGATTATTATCTTTAGATATATATTTTTTTATATTTAGATTATTTATATTTAAGGAATAAGGAGGCAGTTTTTAATGAAATTTCTTCCTATGAGTCAATTGATAAAAATAACTACTAAAACATGTTAAAAATTAACCAAATCTACTATAATATTTAAATGAGGAGCTCTAACACAGTTAACACTACTGCATCCACTTTCTGGACATGTCCTTTTTAATTATAAAGAACATCTTAAACCTAGGAAAGTAAATATCACTTGTGCAGTACTGAGCAATTTTTTTGGTGAAAGGAACTCTGGTGAAAAATAAAATAAATTATCAATGTATTGCATTTAAACAAATGTAGAGGAAACAGTGCATCTGTCAAATTACATAGCTACCTAAGTATCAAGCTAGAACTGAAAAGTTCCAAAGTCTCTCTAGTATGACGGAAATTCTGTACATATTTGTTTGGATTCCCAGGGCTGCCATTTCATTAGAAATCTAATAGATTTATATCAGAATAGCAAAGGTCAAACTCAGCATTATACTCCAGATGTAATTTGAGCACATTTTTCCCATCTAGTTGGCAAGGTGTTCTGACAACACCCCCCCCCCCCAAATAATAACTGGAAAATGTTTTAAACTTAATATATTTACTGAATATGGTTTTCAACTAAATTACAAATTTATTAATTGAAACCAGTACATTTTTGGCCTCTAGCGAACAGCATTTCAAATGTTCACATAACCCACAATTGCAGGCTGGGGATTAGCAAGAATCTTTCAGTGGGACTTTGCTTCTGAAAACAAACAGCTGATGCTGGAATTCCTGGGATTTTTCTAGGGCTGTAAGTTTAAAATTGCAAACTAACATGATTTTCTGCTAAAAGATCAGGTCATAAAACCGTGCTTTACTTGTACTTACTGAAATTTTCTTACTGGTTCAAATCACAACCAGAAAATCAATTAAAACTAGAATTTAGTAAAACCTAATAGCATTGGTTTGAACTTGTAAATAAAGACTGTCCAGGGTGCAGAATATACAGCCTGGTGAAAATCTCGATTGGATCACTAATAGTGTCACTGAAAGCACTTGTTAGGGGGGAAAAAAACCCAAACAAAACACACACCAGAAAACCCCAACCTTATCTCCCCCCGCAAACCATGCTTTGCATTTTTAGATGCAGTTAAATGCATTGCCTAATTTGAGAATACTGTCTCTAGTCATCTTTAATCTAGTCTAATGGCTTGTTAGTGCAAATCACTACTTGGTTGCCATGCAAAGAATTTCCTACTCTACAAAAAACTGACATACAGAATGTTGTCAGATTTATTAAGTGTGGCATGAATGGAAATGGAAGGAATCAATGATCATGCTCTATTATTTTAGAGTCAATTGTATTAGTCATTAATTTGCACTATTTACTACTGATTAAACGTTGATATTGTTGGGTAATGAAGGGGAGCATGTGATATGTGCATGAAGTACCTTATATCCAAGCCAGTAAGCCCAAATAACAGCAATAGCATGTTTATTTCTAGCCTCCTCCTTCAGTCGTCTCAGTTCCCTTCGCGCCTGTGATGCATTTGAAAATGGGATATAGAAAAGCTTAGGAAAGAAAAGGTTACTGCAAGTTCCCAATGGTGCAAGAAAGAAAGAAAGAAACCAGTCACTACAAACAGCAAATATTAAAGCGTGTCCCAGCTTCCCAGACTGCACCAGCTAAAACATGTTAGCAGCAAAGAGAAAAAAAACCCAAAAAACCAGCAGTTTAAGGCACTGAAAATATTCCCAGATAACTTTATTCTGAAGGGCCTTCTTCATTCTATGTAGAGACAATTAAGTGCACAATTTGTTGCCATTTTCTTACCTGGGTACCATGCCAGTAAGCGGCAATTATTGTGGCAGCCTCATTACAACGCTTCTGATGCTTAAGTTCCCGAAGAAGTTTCCGAGACTGTGAACAATTGAAAATATTATTTTACTCAAAAAATAACCATAATTTCTTAATGATTTTAAACTAAGGCATTGCAACCTGTAAATCCAGGCAAAACGAAAAAACAATGTCTCCAAATCCCCAAGCAAATAAATTCATAAATGCTACACAGGCTAACATTCGATGTTGTGGGGAAGATTCTGTGCACAAGGGAGAGCTTGGGACTAGCAGTTGAGGGGATCTTAGTTCAATGTTCATTTTTCTCCCAGATTTGCTGCTTCACCTGAGGTATGTATATGTCTGTGTGTACAATGGCAACAATACTTTTCCTCCACACAGTATGTGTCTTATCCATTTAGACTGCAATAAAGAATAAATCACAAGTAAATTGCCAGGCTTTAGATCACACTAAAGGCTGCTGTCATACCAGGCTTTTATCCGTGGCAGTGCTACCACGAAAGAGCGTGTTCTCCAATGACAAACAGAAAACCATAACTCAAGGCGAGATGATGCTTTTACCCAATTTTCTTCAAATAATCCTCATGGGAAAAGACAGTACATCAATAATTAGACTGAAAGGATATTTTCAACTCATTTAAACAAAATAATAAGGACAAAGTAAAAATATCACAAAAAATAGTAAAATCAAATTATGCTAGCTCATTGCTGGCAAACTTTAAAACTTTCTGGGCAGGAGAGGGCTGCTAACACCTATAGCTAGTAACTGCAGCCCCTTCCTTCACTGTCTGGCAGGAAGGGAACTGACTCCAGAATTAAAGGCAGTTCTCTCTTCCTTAAATAGAGGAGAAAGGCACATTTAGTGGGGTGGAGAAAGGTTAATAAGAAAACAAGGAGCCCAGGGACATTTTTTCTGAAGCTAGACAGCAGTAGTTGCTTTAAGCACTGTGGATGCTTTCATTGAGCCATTAACCTAATTTTTACCTCTTATTACAGAATCACCCCTGAAGACTCTACTATGGCTCCAGGATTATCCCTTCACAAAGTACAAACCTCTCAGAAGAAACAAAGTTGTAGCAAACTGAGGCAGAGGACAAGCAAACAGTGGTAACGTACTTGCTCAACGCAAGTTGAGTACAGTACACTTTCACCCTTCTGCTTAGCACACGGAGGAGAATTGAAGAATTAACCCAAGTAACATACTGCCCAGGTGACCCAAACTCTTTATTTTAAGCCTGCTTTCAATTTTGTTCATTCTTTGAGAATCCTGTTAACTGTAAAATAACTGCCGACCACAACTTACTTCTTCCAAATCAGTCCAACGTTACAGTTTTCATAAGCCCAGTGACAGAGTCCTGGACCATCCTGCTCTGGAGCTGCCCGGCTGCCCGGTTAGCATGTACCTAGGTCTGCTCTGAACACCACACTCACTCATTCATACTCCAGCCCACAAAAAGAGGGCACCTCTCTCCAAATTCTCTGGCAGAAGATGGCCCAAGGATAACCCAGTAGTTTAGTGTGGTCCCAGCCCTCCACTTGCACCATTTGCAGGGATTTATAGCCCAGGCTGCATGCAGATATCCCAAACTCACCTCTTCCACTGCAAACATGAGCATTTAACAACACCTACAGCACAGCCACAGCTCAATGGACAGAAGGCATGAAAGTTGGGAGGCTCAGTGCCCTTGGAGTATATTTTCTGACCTGCTCCTTACCTCACGATGCACACATAGCCACAGTGACGGGAAACTCACCTTCCAACCTCTGATGTAAGACTGTACTATAATAGCCGAACTCTTTATCTTCTGATACTTTTTTTGTTGCTGTATTGGAAATAAATGTGATGCTTAGAACAGAATATTGCAACTCTAAAGTATTGTATAATAAAATTTTCATTACTAACATCTGAAAATATGATTAAGGATACAAGCACTAAATGTAAAAAGTGAACAATTTTTGACCAAGCACATGAGACTGTAGATTCTGTGTTCAACTCAAGGGGAAATAAAGCCCATCAACAATGCTGCATGGACAATGTCATTCTCTGTTTACAGAAACACTAAGTTCATGGTCAGCAGCACAAAAGTGACACGGATTAAATACTAACAGTAACAGCTTTATTTGTCTTTCCCACCAACAGAGCAGCATACAAACCATCACAAATGCTCAGGTTTGTTGGCTAAGCTTTTTACCATCTTTTCATAATACTTGCACTGTTTCTATTACCCACAGTCCCTTTCTAACACCAAACGCTGATGATAACTTAGGAACAGGAAAAAAGAAAACCCATGGATTCCTGAATGACATGCTGGAATATTATCCAAGTATGCCAGTTTGAACAATAAATTTCCTGGACAGCAGAGCATTTTCCTTCTAAAAAGCTCAGTTCTCCAGTAGACCAGTGGTTACTATAATACTAAGTGAGCAACAGTTGACAGACTTTGCGACAAGGCTTTTAGACTTCACACTCAGCCGACTCAGTTGCAGCGAACATCTCTGCGAGCAAGCTAGAGGGAATGCCCTCTAGGCCACATTCATGCCATGACTGACATCCGTCATGCCTTGCAAGGGAACAGACAGGCAAGTGTCTGCCAGATCCTTTAGCCAAGCCTCCAGCACAAAGAGTTGTCAAAAAGCTCTGTTCATGCAAGGGGTTCCTTATGAAGCCTTCCAAATCACACTGCATAACAGTCATTTTGGGTTGGGAGAACGGTGCCCTCCATCTACATGAAGAGGCTGAGCAAATCTCTCTATCGCCACCCGTAAGTAATTCTGAGGGTCTTGCTATGACTTCATTCTGCATTCAAAGACAACTGCTACCATGTTTCACCAATAAAAGGTATACAGTTAATAAATCAATGATGTGAACTTGGTCATGTATTTGTTTTCATTTCTTTACATTAAAAGTTGTGCCAATCTAGCTGTGGTAACTCCATTTTTATTTCATTAAGATTGTATGAGATCATGATGAAGCCGTATGGGCACAATGCAATTCTGTAATGATGCTGTTTGTAGAAATGGTGCATTCAATCACAGAAGTTCAGCGAGAGGGGTTTTTACAGTAAAAGAGCACTTATTCATACTTTTTCCAAATGATCTATACTTCTCTCTAATTATCCATGATAACTGAACCAAACACTAATGGCTTTCAAGATGATAAACAGAAGCGCTTGTCAACTGAAAAACAGTGATTGTCAATTCTGCAACTTGCACTTTAAGATGATGCTTGCTTTCTGTATGATATATTTTATCAAGCTTTCCGATAGGCACACAATAACAAAATGCAGCTCAGATGTTTAAGAATTGTTTTAAAACTCAAAAACAATAAATCTTTTTTTATCATATAAGTCAATGTTATTTACTAAGTGATGAAAAGACATGAGAGAGTCATATTACAGTACTGTTCCGTTCATGATACAGAATACCCAATCTACAGATTTGAAACTGTTTTAGAACTGTATCAACAACAATATTGAACTACGACTCTTATGAGCTATAATTAAAATAGATCCCTGGGATCCTCCCAAGCAGCATTCTTGAGCCTCAAATACAAAGGTTCCAAATAAGGCAAACATACAAAAAGCCTTAGGAATGACTGAATTCCACATGTATATTACTGAACATTTTTTACACATTAACCATATGTTTTGAAAGCTCTGTAAGGGCCAGACAGCACAGCATTTTAGCTGAATGAAAAAGACTCTTCCCAGCTGGGCCACAAAATCCTAAAGGACTCTGGTGAGCTTTTTAATTATTCAAGCACAAGCACAATGTAAACACTTAATAGTGGTCTACAGAAAACTAAATTTTCTTTATTCACATTACTGGTACTTAAATACTAACATAAAATCCAGTTTTTTCAATATTCCTCCACACATATCAAGGAAAAATATCGTATGAAGTTTCTATCAAATATCATATCAAGGTTATATGAAAATATGTATTAAACAATGAAAAGAACCCCCCATTTAGTAGAGGATAGTATCTTACTGCATATCTCCTGTACCAGGAAGCAATCACGATCTGGCTTTTTTTCATTAACAAGAAGCGTGTGCGGCACTTCCAGCCTCTATAAATCTTCTCAATGAGAGTAGCCAAGTCCTCCAACCGCTGCTTTCTCAGATCTTCTAGTTTGAAGAGCTGGGGGGGTGAAGTTTTTTAGGGTTTTATTTCACATTGGAAGAAAAACAGCAGGGGAGAAGAGACCAGAAAAAAAAACTATAAGCACAGCTATTGTAAGAGGAATCTCTCCTTTATTCAAGTCCCCCTTCAGACACCTTTTGGTTTATTCACCTCCAGAGCTATAGGCAGATACATCAACAAGGTTTGTGGCAGACACACTGTCACAAGTCAGCGCACAGAAGTTACATTAAATTTAGGCTGACAGCTATTGTGTAGAGTCTTGATTCACACCAATTTTAACAGGTCTAACACTAAAAAGTGCCTTTGTAAATGCTATACTACATAGCAATATATCAAAGCACTGTATCTAGAAAAATCTGTAGTAACCACCTCATGAATTATGCAGTTCATAACAGGCTATCCTCATGAAAGATGGCTTGATTTTGCAGAAGACATTTCTCACTTACTGTTCTTGGGTTGCGGATGAATATCTTTGATCTACCAAATGAAAATTCTTCTTCAGGGATTTCCAATTCATTAAACAGTACCTCTACTCCAGCCCTAATAAGAAGTGAACGAGTTTAACAAACAGGACCCGCAGCTCTAAAACTTCTTAGTTTACATATTCACAGATTAATTTATGGAAAGTATATGGAAGCATATTTTAAATTCTTAAATAGCACTTGACATAAGAAGATTGAAAACCTAACTCATTTACTCAATGGTTATTTAGCTAAAGGCAAGAATAATCACTGTAAAGATTAATTTGATGAAAAAAAAGCAATTCTACTTAACAGCATCAGCAATGGCCTATTTTTTCCTCTTACATCTATAATGATTTTACTTAAACAAACAAAAGAAACGAAAAAGGGCTCTCACACTAACGTCAAAATGTGGAACAAAGATTGATGAGTTTGACAAATGCTTATGTTCCACATTCTACCAACTGCATTTTATAAATGTCAACAAAGAAGAAAAGACAGCAATTGCACAGATCTTTGAGATGATTGTAACAATGCTACCGTTATCAATACTGCACTTCTACCATTATCTTGATAACCTAAAGATTTAAATTGTAGCTAAAGATATTAATCTATTATGAAAGAAATTTAAATCATGCTATTGGTGGCAATGTGTAATAAGAATTAAGAGAAGCTCATTCGCCTACCCAAGACATTATCTTTAAAAATACATGTGAATCCTATGCAATTTAAAATTATATATTTAATACAATTGATTTGCAAGAAGTATTATCTCATAGTTGTTCACCAATCATTATGCAAAATTATTCCTGAAAGGACAGAGGAAGATCATGTGACTGTCTTCAAAGAATTGGGTGTTCGTACACTTTGAAAGTTGGTTATTAAAGATAAGCGTCCTCCTGATCATTCCAAACCTCTTAGTCATTTTTATTCCACTCCAGTATTTCTCTCTCTCTCTCTCTCTCTCTCCTCCCCTTTCTTTCAGGCCCAAATCAGTAAAGGCTACAATATATTCTAGAAACTATGTGCTCTCCTTGCTCCCATGCAAATCTTTTCCATTAAGTAGACCAGTTCATCACTAAAGTAATCTCCTTTGCCAAGGAACTGTAATTTCTAGCCTACTGAAAAGTATAGGTTTCCCAGTGAATGAACTCATCCAAAATCTGGAACGAGATGCTAAGGAGCAACATATAGGTAAAACACTTGAGCCACACTGGCCTACTTTTTAATTTACTTCTAAAATACTTGAAAGTTCATTAAATTTAAAAAAAAAAACAACCAACTTAAAAAAATCAGAACATGTGGAAGATAATAATTTCAATCATTGGAACAGGACAGGTCAGAATACTGATGTTTTCCTACCTGGCTGGCCCTCTCCAGTGGGGCCACGTCTGCTTACACAACATTTTGTACCTTTCCAGGCAAGGCTCGTACGCCTGCCTGAATGCGTAACCTGCCCTTCTGACCCGGACGTTCTCGAGAAGACCAAGGTAGCGGATCTGGTGGCACACCAAGGCATCATTGAAAATGTGTGCAGCCTTTTTGTCATTTGGTTTGATGCATCTGGAAAGGGAAGCGAACAGGGACACTTGTTTGCAGCCCTGTACATGTCAACAACTATTACTGTGAGTTTGAACCATAGATTTCAATAGTTTATCCTTGGATATAAAGATTTTTTTTTTTTTTTTAACTTCGCCAAACTTAAATTCATCAAAGCTTTGCCACAGGGTAATTTACCTGATATAGTTTGGATTTTTTGTCTGAAGATTTTTCATCAGGGTAGCAACTGAAGCCTTGAACTGTGAACCTGCTGTTGGTGGTCTCTTTAGATTGATCTTAGCGGGGTTACCTTCTGGGAACAACGCTTTGATAAGAGAGTGATTGGCCTTCCACATGGCCTGGGAGAGGTCACGGTACAGAAGATCATTATTTTTGTCAACAAATCCTTCCACCTGGTACATAACCTGAACAATACAGAAGAGACTCATCAGAGCATGTTTTGAACTATAACATAGGCCAGTTCAAAATTGACCCAAGAAATTGATTTCTCCTTCTTTCTCACTATCCAAAACAAACAAAAGACATTTCAGCTCTCGTTTTAAATTTGACATTTGGAAGACTTTTTGTTGGATAAAATTTCTGCGAACACGCTACCTGAGAAACATGCATTTTCTCACACTGCTAACAGTTCCTTGTGCTGATCAATTCTGGTTTCTAAAATGAAAATACCTGTTCTTCTGTGATAACTCTGATACACCACCACTTGCCAATACTCCGAAACAATCTTTTTTTGGCTGACAAGAACTTTTCTCCCTCTCTTCTGAATGACAACAGCAAAAATACCCTTTCCCTTCAAAGTACTAATGCTTATGTTATTTGCCTAACTAAAACAAGATATGAAATATCACCTCTTGATAGTGCAGCAGCAAGCAGCTCTCTGTGCAGTCCTCAGGGGACTGTTATTTTAAAGGACTTTTACCAGTAAAACAGTCCAACAACAACAAGCATGAATGCAAAGCTCTGACCTGCAGCTGGAGACCCAGGAGGCATCCAAGGGAACTTCATCATGTAGATATCGGATTGCTACTGGCTTTTTTAATTTTTAAGGGTAGGGAATTTAGTTTGATTAATTGTGACAAGTCATCTGGCTGGTAATACAGATTCTTCAGCTTCACAATTTCTCAGTTCTGTGTAGGTATGTACTATGTACACAGAATATTGAATAAAACTAATACTGACATAGCCATATTTTACACAACAGCAAGCAACTGGGAACTCAGGCAGCATTTTTCTTTGGAGTGCATGTTTCTGTTTCTGACAGGTGTGGTAAATGCCACCGCTGAAAAAACTGTTCATATGAACTTGCTTGTATTTCATAAAAGGAGAGTCAAACTTTTGTTGTCCAGTGACTAGATCACAATGTTCTCAGCTGAGGATGGAAAAACAACATTTGTCCCAAAATAGGAAGAATTCACTGATTGCTCTGCTGGGTAAATGAAGGCCAGTAACAATCGAAGACCCTCACTGTCTGCTAAGACACAACCTGTTGGCAGTTTCTCAAAGTACCGAGGGTATTTTCAACTCGCTTTGACTTTTGACAACCAAAGAAATATCTAAGAATTAATCCCTGACAGATTATATCCAATTACAAAATCTTCTTGGCAAAAACATAACAAAGTTAACAAATGGCTGCCTCAAAGGCTGAAACTATGACATTTCCAGCACTATTTTGAATAAGCAAATTATTGAGCTATTCAAAATTGTAAGACCGAGAAAATGCTAAAAACTAGGGAAGTGTTACACAGTCCTAGGAAAATGAAACACTTTCCAAATATTTTTTCCTCTGTGAAATTAACAGTTCAGCAGCTTCAAACAAGAGGTATAGTTTTAACCCCTACATTTACTTTTAATTTTTTCAAAAACTGTCTTCTTTTTACAAAATTAATTATTTTGATTTTCATTAATAAGGTCATACTGAATTACACATCAAAAACTATCAGACTTGTATTTATTCACGCTGCTTATGCTCTAAAAAGCAAACCATTTGCAAGTCCTCTGTATCGTTTTCTCTTCCATCTGTTTAAACACACAGACTGTCAAAATAAACTCAGTGCCTTCAAATGTACAAAACCTCCACTTTCTCATCAACATGACTAAGGACTTCAGCTAGTTCAGTTGCAAAGAACATGTTTTCCAAAATATCCTGCCTTCAGATATGTGTGAATTTTTGTCATTCTAAACAACGTTGTATTTCCAGAGACCTAGCAGCACAAGCAGTTCACCACCAAAGCACGTGGGACATCTTTCTCCTCTGATGAAAGGAGAGCTGCCCTTGATTTCAGCTAGAGCAGCATGATCTCTGAAAACCTTCCAGCCCAAATCACAAATCTTAGGCTTAAGATGAAAAAGATTAACACAGGACTGGATTCTTTGATTAACTGTTAACTCAAGCAATTCCTCTCCATTACTGTAACATCGTTTAATGGACGAAGGAGCCTCCCCACGTACTCCCTTGCTTCCCCAGGTACCTTGCCAGCGTAATGCTGAATCCTGAAGCAGCTGTGAGGCAAGGAGGTGTCGTTGAGGAACCGGGAGCACTTGCTCATCCTGCTCTCAAAGTGCTGGTGAGTGGCACAGACTTGGTTCAGTTTTTCTAAAAAGGTGTCATCGGTAACAGTTCCTGGTCTCAGGCATTCTTCGTCTAGCATGGCCAGGATTCCAGTTTGGTTCTGAAGTTTCAAGACAAAAGCTTTAGTGTTTGTTTCCATCACACTTCCATCTATGCATAAAAAGAAGAGTTCTCTCTCATGTTTGACTTCTGCTACCCAGAAACCATTCTTCAAGCCGTCTCAAAGCTTGGCTCTTTTCATCATCCCCCTTTCCAACAGACTTTTCGTATCCATGTTTTTGAAAGACTGCTTCTGTGATCTGAATCTTGAACTTCATGTTGGAATTTCATGTCATTTACTCAGACTGTAGAAACTCCAACTTAACTGAAAGTCCCCAGTTTATGGGTAAAACTAGCACACATTTTATGCTAATGGTAAAAACTGTTTTTTTCCAGTTGTTAAGGGATTTTATCTTTCTTGCCGTGCTAAGTCCATAGGAAGTCCTGTTAATAGATACAAGTACTTTCTGTACCTAAAGTACTCAGTAACAAGTTGTTGAGTTTCCTAGTTTCCATATAAAAAGAAATGTTATTTACAATGCAGCATGTGATATCTGCTGTAGAACACAGCACTAAATGTAAACATTTAAGAGTTGTTTGGTTTGTTGGTTTTTGGTTTGGGTTTTGGGGGGGGCTTGTTTCCCCCCCCCCATAGGTGCTGCTGAACATTTCTAACAAAGTAACGTATAGCCTCATAAAAAAAAAAATTTTTTTAGTAAAATAAACTTTTACCATACAAAATGAGATGACTAATACAATGAGTGGCTTGTTTTATAAAATCAAAGTGCATGAGGATGCATACGAACTTAACGGCTAAATTCAATCCATGCACTAAAAAAATTATTCAGAGAGATTCTTGGATATAACTTACATTTTCTATTAGGTCACAAATTATAGCATTGTTGAAATACTCAATATGAGTCCATTCAATCCCCTGTAAGAAAAAATAAATGTATGAACAGGAAAATAATTGAGGGAGCTTTTCCTCTAGGCAATTTAAATTATATTCCAGTTAACTAAGATATTACTTTCAAATTTAATTCTATATGCTTACCAATACTTTATTTACTAAGAAAGAAATGCAATCACCTACTACTAACATTATCTGTGCAAAATGACTGTCCTTGAGCGGCTGCCAAACTTGTTCTCCATTCCTTTCCCCCACCCGTGTCAGCTTCCCATGCACTCCCCTGGCCCCCTGCCAGGCTCCTCCCGCCACCCACCCGCCCCAGCACCGCTCTGCCCACGCTCCCACTGGTTATAAGGAAATAAGCCCATTTCACTGCAAGCATCTGAGATCAAAATTTCTAAGCTCTTAGTTGTTGGGGTTTTTTAAATGAGAGGAAGAAAGAGGGCTAAATTTAGATGAGACCATCTGAAAAATCTAGAGTCTGGCTGTTGTTCAGATATTCCTAATATCCTAATTTTTTTTCAAAATTTCCAGGATGAGATGCCAATGCATCAGGAGGTAACACTGGTAGGGCAAAGGACAGGAAAAAGACAATATTAATTTTATTCTTAATTTCCTTTCTGTGGTGCTTCTTACAGTTTAGTTTTTTTCAGAGCATTTTAAATATCATTCAAGAACCAAACTGCAGTAATGAAGAGTTTCACCACTGAATGCAAAAAGACATGCCCAAACTTCATATTATCCTCAGGATTATAAGGCAGGAACTTTATTTAATTTTTTAAAATGTTTATACAGCAAAATGGTATTAACCAATTTGAGTAGACGGTGTATGCCAGTTTCTACAGCTGTGAGCTGGTGTTTTGTTTGAGCTCTGTGTATCATGGGGAGTACTGCTAAAACCTATTAAAGCTTTAACTTGATGTTCACTCACAGAATAACATCAAACACCAGAGTGTGGGCTCCAAAGCACATCTTAAATTTACCCATAGAGCTCACACAGCTCCCTTCAATACTTAACTGAAAGCAAACTAGAACCAAAAATCTATTTGCAGTTTCTTTCATCTTGCACACTGGTTTTACCCACCCAACTCCTTTTTGCAACAGGATTAGCTGCGGCCGCTGCTGGGGTGTATCCCAGACACTACTGTGTAATCCAAAACACAGGCTGTAGGGTAATGGCACTAATACCAGAAAGTGGTATCAGTCTTCTAATAAATGAATTAGCCCTTGCTCAGAACTGCCAGTCATTGTTGCTAATGAATGAGAGCTGGCTCTGGTTTTCACCTGAAGAGCTCATAATGTGAAACAAAACCAAGCCCAACTTTTTTTGCTTCATGTAACTACCACGCAGTCCTACACAAACGTGCTCCATGCCAGGCCTGTGGTCAAAAAGTGACCTGAGAAGAGATTCCAGCATGCATGCCTGTGTATCTTTACAGGGACAACGGGAAGAGGAGAGGATAAGGAAAGATCCATTCAAGTATTACCTCTCGGATGTATTCCTCCTGCTCTTCTTTGAGGGTGAGTTCAATGAAGATCTGCTGCAACTTCTCATTACAGTAGTTGATAATGAATTGCTCAAAGCTGTTGTCCTGCCAGATAAAACATGTTTGCACTTGCTGTTGTGTAAACACCCTGGAACTCAGCTGGAGTAAGTTACTGCAGTAGCTGCAAGTCAACAAGCTGCTTTATTAACTACTTCTTCCAGTTTTGTGATGTGATGGTTGGAGTAATGTTTTATTGAGACTAGTTTGGAAATTTTAGACCAAATGCTCCCCTGAGGCTTTCTGCATTGGGAGGGACAAAACCTCTGTAGGTTGTATTCGTGATGCCTCTGTATCGATTCCTTGGGACAAGTCATAAGGGCGCCTGTGGTGTCAGGGAATAAACAACAAAAGTTTTGCCTGCACTAATCTGTCCCCACATGTAAAATGTGGTCTCCTGAAGGTTCTGATAAATGAAATTATGACAGTAGCATTACCTCTTTTCCACTCAGTAGCCAACAAAGTATCCTATTTCACTACAGATCGAGGCCCAAACTGCTATTCTGGTTACAGCTGAGCCTGGGTTAAGAGATTATTGGCTCCAGAGGTCAATCTCCCTGCCAACAAACTGTTCATGTAATTGCCCCCTGAAATTATGGGAATTAAAAGAAATTTATCAACCAAAAATCCTCTAAAAGGCTAATTCATATAAAACTGGGTTAGGGAGCAAGCATGCGTGTGACCCTTTGCAGAAGGGCCCGGGGAGCGGAGCAGACCCCAGAAGGAGGGGTGGGCAGCAGGACGGCTGGTCAGTGGCTGCAGCCACCGCGGCCTCCTCCATCGCAGCTGCAGGAGCCGGGCTGCGGCAGCACAGCAGCACGCTTCCAGGGGGACACGTGTCGGCATCAGAAATGATGGCCGCAGCAAGCCCCTAAATACCACAGGTAAAGCCCTCGCACGCTCGAGTCAACTGAAGTTTTACTGCTAACATCACCAGGGCCAGGACTGCAGCATAAAAGCTCTGGTTCAGCACTTCGTCTCCATTATCTTAAATGAGTGCAGTTTGGAGGCCACGTGCCCATCCTGAGGACCGGTTTAAAATGCCCCTTTCATAGAAAAAGGGAAGAGCAGCCTCACTGGTTTTTTCCAGTGCTTGAAAGAGTCATTAATATTGTAAGAATTCCTTACATGCATCTGCAGAAACAACTGCAATCAAAAGGAATTTTGGATATCTGCTGCTGGTCTTCTCTTCTCGGCTTCGGGGTTCCCCCCTAGCCCCGCACCTTTTTTTCCTCTCCTTTCTTAGTTACCAGTCATCGAGAACACTTTGGTTATTTAGGAAGCCTGAAAATTTGCAGAATAAACCACTACGCCTTTTCACGCTATCAAATAAGTCTGCTATACAATATCTGTGAAGCTCAAGTTATGGTGATAGAATTTTTATGACTAAGGGCAACTGCAATCATTTAAATGTTTAAATTAAGGATCTGGTTGCTAAACGAGATTAAGAACACACAAGCAGATTAGAAAATACTGAGGTAGCACAGATTACTTCTATCATTTTAGTTTTAGGTAAAGCAAAATCATAGCTGATCACCAAACTTTCTCAGCCACATTAAACTTTGCCCCTCACACCAACCGCAATTATCAATCAGAGATTGCAAAACTTGCATAGCTCTAGATGAGAAAGTTAAAATTTGGCATGCATCAAAATCAGCACTGCAAACAAGTCATACTTACTGCATTCTGTTGCAAAAAGAAATTACATAAACTGCAGTCAGTACTTGTACTACTTCCATAACAACACAGAATATATCTATTAGCATTTATTTAGCATACCAAGTAGATCACTCTTTTTATCAGACTCATATTTGTATGTCACTGAAAATATGAAGTACTACATAAATGTTATGTATTACTTCTTTGTAGATGAGTATCTTTAGGTACCATCCAAACATTATCAAATAAACCAAGGGATTGAGGCACATCAGAGTGTAACACAGAACAGCATTGTTGCATTGCCATGACTCTAAACCACCACGTATCTTTTGTCTCAAAAAGCGATATATATAACCTTAGGTAGACAAATCTCAGTAAAGGGAGAGGAGAATGGGGAAGGGAAGAGAGAGTACTAGAGGAATAATGAGTGAAAGTTTACTTGACACACTCAGATAAGGCCATCACTTCAGATATATTGAGTTTGAAGTAAAAGGACCCCAGCTGACACATCACCTTGACAAAGAGGAAGGGTAAAACACACACTGGATCCTCCTGCCAGGCACATGCCACCCAACGCAGAAAGATTGTTTCTCCAAAAGACCATGTTGTTATGATTACAAGGACTGCCAGACTTTTTGTTCACATATTATGCGCAGTCTTCGTCTTCAAAAGAAGATGGAAACTGAACCGCAAATCCAGCTAAACCATCTAACTAAAAGGTCATTAACAATATATTAAAGTAATTGCTAGATGCTTTCCTGATTTGCTCTGTATCCGTGATATTTATGGTTTGCCAAAGAAAGGCAAACCAAAATCCACAGAGTTCTTCACAAATCACTCACTTTAAGCTATGAAATTCTATTTGACATTGCCAAGCCACTGAAAATTGCTATCCCAGGAAAAAAAGTCATTGAAGAGCAGTAGCGATTTTGTTCTTTATGTGCGATACAGAGCAAAAGGCTAACAGTTAATTACAGTGAAGAAAATGAGGAAAAATGTTTGGAATTACTAAAATTCTCAAAACACTTAACTCTGAACAGATCAGAAGACATTCGGTAAATTAAATACACTTCAGAAAGAGGCATTTCCTTTTACAGGTTTTAAGAAACACTGTATGAAAAAAACAATTAGAGTATTTATCTCTGGGCAAATCTAAGTAAGGCAGCAGAGATTGTGAATTTATTCTCCTTTTTGTATATCTATAATTTTTAATTATGTGAGGGCTTCACAAAGCATAGATGAATGTTCACAATTGAACTGTCCCCCAATATTTTAATGAAGGCTCCTAGAAATTAACATGACAGAACTGGAAGGGATCTAAAGGACTTCTGACGTTTTTTTGTATAAGGCAATAGAGAATGATTAATGTCAGTGACAGCATATCACTAAATCCATCCAGGAGAAATGCGCTGAAGGACCCAGCCATCAGAGACTGTACTTGCTCCTTACGCTGACCATTTGCATTAAGCGACAGAAAGGGTTTTGACCAACACAGAAGCAGCATGGTTGGACCCAAAATTTCATAAAGACTTAGTAAATTCAAATATTCTTAGGAAAATTTAGGAAAAAGAATATTTAAGACCAGCACTTCTCAAAGTGTCAGCTTCTCTTCCAGGCTGTAATTCTGCTACTTTAATGTTGAAAGCACCACTTCAATCCCTGCATTTTTACAGCAGCATTTCAAACCATGCCTTTGAAATCACTGTGGAATACAAAATATAACCTTTGGGGAGGAAAAAACCACTCGGTCTCTCAAATGAAATTAAAGGTGCTGGGAAACAGAATGTCACCTCAAATAGACTTAAAGTCATGTCAAATTTATAGCTACAGATCAACCAACCACCCTCGGCTTATCCTCTCAATCTTTTATCAGGTGCAACAATAAATTTAGACAAGTAGAAAAATTCACTGACAAAAATCAAAGTCTACTTCACCATGTTTTTCACTTCATAAATAATGGTATCGTGCTCATACAGCTTTATTCTTTATCAACCTTCAAACTACTGGGCATCAGGGTGGCATTTCATGAATAGCAAGTTTTTGAACTCTAAAAAAATTCTGCTCCATGCAAAAATATAATGCTTATATACGCAAGCAGATCACGATGTTGTACTTGCTCAGGTTGTTAGAGTCAACCATGAAAAGATAAAAAGTTCTAGTTTTGAACCACTGCTGTTACAGGAATTACATACAGGTGCTTGAAAGTCTAAGGAAATATTTTTTTGTTCCTTAATGTTTTACCTCATTTTTTCTTTAGAAGATTCCAGTCGTGTATCATGCAATCATCTGAAGAAAAATGTATGGATGTTCCTGACCTTATATATTGTTATACCACTAAAATACCAATAGCAAACAGACAAAATAAAAATATTTTTGTCAAAAAAAAAAAAAAAAAAGTCTAAAAGTCTCTTATTGGTTTCAGGCAGAAATGTCTCTCTCCATATGCTGATGCTGAGTGTAATTTCCTGCATTAGATTTACAAACACAAAATATCTAAACCAGGGCGTTTTCCTACGAAAAGCAGCTACCTTCTAACCTTCTCTTGCCGTAGAGAATTCAAATTCACTTTTGAGTACCCAGATTCCAGTCATTTCCAGTGACTCTGAGGCAACTAAGATACCTACTTAAAACTGAAAACTGCATACTTTTCCATACTAGTAGGTAGGAATAAATTCTTATCTTTCACCTACCTAATGAAGTCCTAGTTTAAGTGTTCCATTTTCTTCTGTCCTCTCCGCTTTCACTGTTTTCCCCAAATCAAGCATATGAAGTTGATCCATATCATCAGTATCACACCTATTCAAGGTGTTTCTCAATACTTCATCTTCCTTCTTACTCTTTCATCACACCAGTTCTTGTTGAGAGCCAGTTAAAAAAATCTACATATTGCTTAGTCTACAACCACATTGACAAAAAGATGTTCAGCAACACCTTTTCAAATACCTTACATGAACACATACAAATAAAAAATACATGATAAGTATTTAAAGGAAAAGAATACTTTAAAACAAACCCTATACATTTCAAGTCATGAGACTGTCTGTTGAAATCAGAAGAACCAATGCCATTAAAATGAACTTTTTGATCTATGTAGAGGATGGAAAGACATACAGAGACTGGTGCTTTTGCTCTAACACATATAGCCCCAGGAAGTAACTTTTTTCAACATCAACACAGCTCCAGGCATTGGAAGTCTCTGACCTCCTCCTAACATCAGCAGGTGATCCCAGGTAGTTCCATCAGGCCCCTAGACTACTACTGAGGCTCCTAGAGAAAAAACTAGATGGCAAAAGTAATGATGATAAAAGACCAACATACTCGCTTCACTGAGATGAATGGAGGAATGAATGGTGAAACCAACCAGCAAATTTAATTTATATCCTACTGTG